GGGGGTGTGTTGGTGAGTGCCACGCCGTGCCAGCCATCTGCACCCTCTCTTCCGAATTCGGTTTCCTTGATCATGTCTTGACACCGGGTCCCGGTGGGAGAGGAGAGATTGCGGTAAATGCTGTGCAAGTCTCTTTTCACAAATAATTAACTCACGTGCAAGTCGCCGCGCATGTTCAACCGGCTGTGTAGTACACGGTGGACATCGTCGGTTGTGACGGTCCGACTGCCATTACTGTACTTTAACGATTCATCACAGGATGACAATTACATACTGGGGTATCCTTCTTCTGCTTATCTGGACCGGGCCCTTGAATTCTGAGGGATGACTAAGGAACGTTAAAAATCTTACCTGGCACATCGACAACCTTACTGTCACTAAGATAATTGGACGAGCTCATAGCAAGTCAGAGAGCGAGAGATTAAAGTGGTCAACGTGTTGGAGTTCGGTCATCCGCAGATCAATTAACGCCGATCTGTCCCCATCCTTCCAAGTGACGCACAGTCTGGCTGAATTTCGTATAGCATCCCGTGATTGACAGTTACCACCAAGGCGAATGCGGCCAGTTGCTGGGTCACCAGATGAAGCTGCGTGAGGGCATTTCACAGCTTGCCTATGTGCTATGATCTCTACAAAAATCTCCGGAGCTGGACTCTAACAAAAGCCCCCTAAGCTCATTTTACCGTGAACAACTTGTCCTATCCTACGGCAAAGGGCGTCCATCAAGTTCGCACAGCTTCATCGAATCATACTTACTGCAGACTTGATGAATCATCTAGGTTTCAGTTTACTGGTTCATTCTCATGCAGAAAAATCCGTCATTCCAGCGGTTCGTGGCAGCTTGAATCTGCAATCATTAGAAACTTGCACTGGGTGAGACTGTCGGTACGGCACTAGCTAGTCGACTTCCCGGACCAAAAACAGTTAGTAATTTTTGACACAAGCATACTGTATACTGATACATCATTCATTGAGAATTTCTCGTCAGTTTTCGCGAGAATGGAGCAAATCCAAGTCTTGGGTTGGTCTCACTTTTGACTACGAAACACCTTCCTTTTACGTCAAAAAACTTATTAGGGAGTTCTTTCCTTCCATCTTGATGCTCACTTGGCTAGACTTTCTCCGCAGTGCAAGCCCAGCTAAAGGCACCCACAGTAGGTGGGCTAACTCATGAAATGTCAACCGAAATTCCGAAATGCGTTTTCGTTTCTAAAAGATTAATTAGGTAGGTTTGTATAATTAGTCAGCCTGCAACATAATTCTATAATATTTCAGTTACCTCGGGATGCCGGCATTCGAACGAACTTTCTTCCGGCTGCATGTAAAACCACTCTGTAAAAAATGATTAATTAAGTAGCCTGAAATTTTCTTACTGATTTTCGATGCCCCTAAAAGTCCAGTTATATTTTATGGAAAAAAATGCATCAAAGTCTTCATTCTTTCGCTCATTCGGTAGATAATTACGTCTGCTACTAGTTTTATACTCGAAGGCGAGACATAATTCAGCTTTAAAAATTTTTCTAATTGTGGGACTTTTAAATACCGTGAAATGGCCGTTCATAAATCGTCATATCTCTGCATTTGCCAATGTGGCTTGTAATATTAACAATATGGATCAAATCCACTGCTAAATTTTATGAATTCTATATGGTCCTGCATTATTACCGTAGAGAACTGTGTAGTTTTCCGTACGCGGAAAATATACGGCTTGTAGGTTGGAAACGCTGAATCCACGTGTGACGGTAGCGCTAGATCAAAATTATTCGGGAATTGGAAAAGTTCTTGAAAACCGAATTATACCCTTCCTTCTAGTAGGAAATTGGAAGAAGACATAGTTGTTTACCAAATGAGCGGAAGAATGAATATTTTTATGCATATTTCCCATGAACTATAACTGGACTTTTAGGGGCATCGAAGATCAGTGAGAGAAATTCATGCTACATAAGTAGTCGTTTTTTACAGAGTGTAGTTTTTACATGCAGCCGGAAGGAAGTTCGTTCGAATGCCGGCATCTCGAGGTAACTGAAATATTATAGAATTATGTTGCAGGCTGACTAATTATACAAACCTACTTAATTAATATTTTGGAAACGAAAACGCATTTCGGAATTTCGGTTGACATTTCATGAGTTAGCCCACCTACTGAATGAGCTTTCATTCAGGGCCGGAGACCTAGAATTTAAGAATTTCATGACTCACTTTAAACTAAAACGGGCAAACTGATGTCATAGTCGTTGAGGTTAATTTATTTACCGTCAACACAAATGTGTCAGCGTGTTTCTGACGGTCTCTACTCCCAAATCGCGCTCAACCAAAACTAGCTCTCTTACCCTTCTACTGGTAAGTTGGTGGCGTGCGAGCTTGCCGACTGGTAGAGCATCGCATTCTCCGCCTCCTCTGGGAAAGAGAATTAAACAGCAGCATTTCGTTTAATCGCGGCCTTAATGGCACACTCAAGTAAGTAGGCCAGATAGGAGTTCGTGTGTGGCATGCGGTGGATTAAATCTCACGTCACCTAAGTCGCCGCACCAAATCGTATTCCCAGTCGGCCTTGCTCTTGGAGTCTATTGCGTCCAGTCCTCGTTTGTTGGTTTGCCGCTACATCGCGTGCTCCTTTTGCCTCCCCCAGTCTTAAAGTTAACAGCACCTGAGCACTCGTCAAAACTTGTTTGTGACCTCTTCATCCGCCCAGATAATTGTCGCAATGAGACCGCGAGTCATTCGGTAAATTCGCTATTCCTGCACCTTGTCAACTCAATCGGTGTAGTCGCTGCCTTGTAAAGGTTCCGGAATACTTCAACTCAAATTGGAGACTAAAAAGTCTCTAAAGAGTTTGGGATCGGAGATTGGTGAACTTCCTCTCGGGGGAGCATCAAACATTCTGGTGATTTCCCTCCACACACAACCGTTAATTCCAAGTCAACGAACCGTTACAGGTGTCAGTTTCGATCATACATAGCAGACACGAATGAACGATTATCTTAACACTCTTCTGGTGGAAGGATCTCCTAGATTCTCAAGAATATGCAGATTTCGCAGAAGGTTTATTACCCCTTGCGTGTCTTTCATCTTTTGCTGGGCACCGTCAGAAACTTTTCGGTAGTCTGGAGATATGTGAGATAAACAGACTGTCGTGCATGGTTAACTCAGTAGTATAGTGAATTTAACCGACTAATTAGCTAGCTATTCACATAGCAAATAATGCCTTTAGTCTGATTCAACATTTTCTTTGAATAGTTCAACAGGGACGGAAGGACTTTGTTATTTTTATTCAACAGAACAACCGTCTGATGGCTCACTGTAACAACCCCTAAGAAAAAGCGTGTGCGACCCGATACCACCGCAACAAGTTTGTGCGAAATGGCTATCTGAACGTGTTTATAGGCCGCTGCCTTTGTGTCCGCCAGGCATAAAGGATGTATCGGAGACGAGTGAGCGCATTGCCGCGAAGCTGGATGTCAGGATTGCACGCCAGCCCAGAGCTATCATGCAAAGCAAATCATGCAAATCAAGGACCAATTAAATCCCAGTGATTGGTGCTGTGAAGTATATTACACTCCGTGCCTGAGCTGTTCTTGTAACTACATAGGCCAGACTAAAATTAGGCTCGAATCGCGTATACACGAACATTAGCTGTCTGTGCAACGGGCCGACAAATCATCGCAACGGGTCACGAGTTCAATGCATCAACCACCAAGATAATCGCCAACTCCAGAAACAACGTCAGATGAGAATTTATTGAATCTGGGTGGATTGGAATGAGGAAACATCAGCTGAGCCCAGTGGGTGTTGAATTGCCTACTGGTGCATTTTTCTAACATCTTTACAGCAGTCGTGAGGCGTGAGGTTATGTGCTACATCAAAGCAAAATCGTGCTGTCCCTGTTTGCTTACCAGTACCGGGCACTTTAATCGCTGGGAGAGCCTAGGCACACCCACAAAAAGTCTGGCACATGCTGTAGGGATCAGGTTGCCCGTTGCACGCGTAGCCGGACTGGTTACATTTGCCAAACACTGTGCCCAAACTCATCCCCTTTCGTCTTGACATTGTCCTGCCATTGAAGAAAGGTGGGTGGGATAGGCCAGCTTCCCGTAGATGCCGCGTAAGTCTGTTTCACTATAAATTAAGTTAACGCCATATGACCGGTTTCGCGATGGGCAAACTGTCAGCTCACATAACAACAGTCAGAATTTGACTAAACACGAGCAGGGAATGTGGCAGACGTTTTAGATTTAAAAACCGTTGGTCCCCGGAATCGATGATGAGAAAGAAAGCTATCAACAAAGGAAACGCCTTTTGGGTCGGTTGAAAAAAACCAAATTAGTTGGGCATGGGAACATGGACACCTCATGCGTATTATGGGTGGCCTTTTCCTAAATTCGAGAGGTCGGGATTACTGTTAGGGTTAAGATTAGGACAGGGATATTTAACGCACTGCCACCCGTAGTATGGGGAGAGTCATATTCCTTTGTCCAACTACAAAATTTATGTTTTAACACTTTAGCCGTACTAACCGAAACTGACTATGTAAAAAGGCATTTCAACCGCCCCGTTGTCTTCTTTGTAGCAGGACGTGAAGCGCGTTAATATTCACCAAACAACCAGAGAAAATTTAAAACACAAGCCGGTTTTCATTTTTATTGAAAAGCAACCCTACTGCAGGTTGCTTGGTTGTACAAATCTCTCCAAACTAGAAAAAAAACTCTCTCTCTCTCTCAAAGTTCTCCTAATGAAATCTAACAAACGCTAACGAAAAGTCCACGGTTCCCCTACATTAAGGCTCCAATATAAAATACGTAAAACCGTTGAGCAACTGGGGTTTGTAAGAGGGAAGAAGAAACCTTGCGAACAACTGGGGGAGGTCTTTTTGTATACCGAAAATACATATAAAAAATAGGCAACAAGAGGTGCAATTAAGGGCTTAACAGTTTGCATTTTGGTCTAGCTTGGCTGAAGTATCGTGGAACCACCCAAACGTCGCAACAGTCACCCGTACACCGTCATACTAAGTTTCTGGTAACAGTTGTATCGTTACATCTCCTGGGCGCTAGATCCAGCATGCTCTCTGCGGTAATTTTCGGTTTCTGTGTCTTTGTATGCCATACCAAGATCTGTAAAAAGATAAAAAAAATAAAATAAAAAGTGATACACTTGCTTCTTTCAAAGGGAAAGTGTGGTCTCAGTGGCAACAAAATTGGGACACCCAGAATCTGCTTTCTGGCACAGAAAGCCTAACTGATGATCAAGCAGCCGGCGTTACATTAGCGATTCATTTAAATTAAAACAACATTTACTAATGTAATCGCGGTGTCAGGTCCACCAGCCCTTAGAGGATCACCTCGGGCAAATGAGAGTTGGCGTTTTGTCCCTCCCCCCTGGATGTTTGGAGGTGGAGATTTGTTTAAAACTTCAAACAGTAACTTTACGTCGGTAGAAGCGAGGAGGCGAGCCCCAGGGAGACAGCCGTGAAATCGGAGACATGATCTCTCGAACAGGAGCTTTATTCGCCTGCCGAGTCGGATTCATACTCGGAGTCAGTGGCAAAGACGCAATCAAGTACTAGTTAATGAGCTGTGCAGGTGTTGCAGTATTTAGAAGTTACAGCTCCTGCCGTCATCCCAGCTGGTTGCCCGTGATGAGGTAGTTGATTAATGACCCAGGCCCTGTAGCATGCATTTTCTTTGTCCGGGTTTCTTGGCTCTCAGTAAGGTACAAAGAGCAGTGACCTCCCTCCGCCATATTCTGTGCTGAGAACTTGCAGAAGCGCTCAGACGACCACTGATATTTTTGCCGGCGTCGGTGGGCCATACAGTCCAGGGACCCATCACGGATGATAAAAATCCCGGCCATTAACGGCTCGGTTGCAGCCAAATTCAGTCATTATCGCAGCATGTGCAACTATCTGCGACGAATGCCGGAGGCGCCCCATGTTGCTAGGCGTGCATCGGCGTGGCGACTGTAGCAACATCATCGTAACCGACTCAGCAGCCGCATATTGCCGGTGAACGCGCACATTACGCGTCGGCTTGGTCGATCCGCTGCGAATCTATTGTACAGAGACCTGCGAGCCAGTGTCTGGAGCACTAACATACACCCGTTGCCGCCGCCGACGCCGCTGCCGCCTCAAATGCCCACGCACATTCAGCCAACGCGTGGGTCTACTCGGCCACGTTCGTTTCCGCGAAAATCGGCCGTAAAGGTAACAATTGGGAGATGGCACCCAAAAAAGTCCGCCCAACCAAAGCAGCCTGTCTCACGGGACAGTTGGTAATAGGGGTTTTACGGGTGGGGCCTTGGATTGCGTGGATAAATATAAATAATACTAAGAAGTTTTTTTCAGAAATGGCTTTTCGAACGATAAAGTTGAACCTCATCACTATATGGCCACAAAAATGTGCGCGATGTCGGATTTACTTGAAGAGACAGATAATATGAAGTCGATCCAGCTCGTATTCCCTGCTTAATTGTTTTTTTAAATAGGGGATTGAAAGCGGAATGCAGTTGGCTAAAGGAAACGTTCTACGTTGTGCTGTTCATGACCCTATGCCTTCATATCCTCGCTTTCAAAACTGCACGTTCAATAAACACAGAGGACGTGATTGAAAACATCGCCGCACTTAACCCCGACGAGAGTTGCCATTTTGTGGAATTGTTTAGCTGATAGCACCGTCTATCTAGGATTGTATGCCTTTAAAGTTTTCCGGCCCTTAGTAAAATACCCTTATTTTATTCCTTTCATCAGCCTGTGGACGAACACTCATGCAGTCCTCCGGCATATTCTCATCGGTAACGGAATTTTTTGGGTGCCATCTCCCAATTGTTACCCATGAACTAGAGATCTCTCATGCGACTAGGTAGTGCGTTCTTCGGCTCCCTCTGTGCGCGGCTCCTCTGATAAATTTGAGACCCAAGCAGACCACCTCTTTTGTTTAAAACACCACTGGGTTGCGCGGGGGGGCAGGTCATGTGTGTGGCACGCGCAGACGGGTGGTTGACAGGCTTGAAAAGTTGGCCGGTGCAAGCGAAAGGAAAGAGAGCGAGGCCGACGCATGTTCCTCCTTCTGAACAATTTTGCGCGATTGAGAATGCCACGATGCGAAAGAAGCCCTGTATTTGAAGGCTGCCAACCGACTGGATCATTCGGACCTTGCAGTCGGTCCAGTATGTGGTTGTGTGGAGTAATGGACTGGTGGACTGAGAGTCAGACCGCAACGGCTCCTTCTTAACGTGGCCCTTGTGTCATAACCAACCAACTGGGATCCGAACCGTCCCTTTGTTGCTCGTTTTTTAAATCCTGGACAATACACTTTGTGAAACAGGCAGTGCCGGCAGTGAGCCCGTGCCAGCCACCTGCGCCCTCTTCCCCCTTCGGTCTTCTTGACACCATCATGGCAGTAGATGCAACGCAAGTCTACTATTAATACAGACTAATTCAAATGCGAGTCACCGTCCCTGCGGTAACACTGCCATTGGAAAAACGATGGACCTAGTCGGATTCGACGGTCGAACTATAAATGCTGCAATACCTTGGCAGTTCACTGCCCTTATCTGATACTGCCGCTGATGATAGATTCGAGTATGGGTTCGAAACGTCGGGTGGGCAAAGACCTTGGCCTGCCGACCATGTTTCCTCCTTTGTAACCGTATGCCCATACTCCAACCCCAGGTTTTTTAAAGTAAACTGAAAAGAACTTGCAGAAGCTTCCTCCCTGACATGGGTTGCTTAAATGTAAAACTGATGTTCACTGAACGCTACAAATTCCTGCATCGATTTTGGAAGAATGAGAACCTAGACGATACGGGGAAGGAGGCGCGTTATGCTACAAACGGGCAATAGGCAAAGTACTTCTTTTGTTCCAAATAACAGATTGCGAAATCCCAGTCAAACGTTAGAGCGCGTGTGAACCCCGCTCTCCGAGCAGTAAAGCAGCTTAATTACTCATGCTAAGAAATGACTTACTTCCGCATCTGTTGACACCACAGATAACCCAATGGGGGTTTGAGTAATTTCTAGGTGTGCTGTCCGAAAAGGCAAGGGGGAGAGGACGTACCATCGCTATGGCAACCCAGAAGCTAGTGAACTTCTGTTCACGGACTTTACCCGGAGCAACGGAGAAGGGGGTCTGCGCCCATACGGTCCCGGTCCTATTCCGCTATACCAAGAACTTGTGAGAAGAAAGAAGAGTACATGTGCCCCGTGCGCCTGAATCGTGCGAATTTCAACCGGGACGAACCGCAGGTCATCCGGACGATGACTTGACACGACGAATGTCCGGGCAAAAGTCCGCGGTGGGACGCGATGACTAAGTGTCACAAATCATCCACCTTTTGGCAGAGCGATGGTGAATTCGATGACACAGCTAACTGCCACGTGGGGACGGTTGGCAAATTGGCAGGCATTCACTGCGTGGGTTTCCTCACCCCTGCCCCCACCAGGCGTTGCGCAGTAAGCTCGAACGAAGTCGGGCAGGCAGCTGCCTGACGCAACCGAAACTGCCTAACTGGTCAGAGAGTTTGGATGTTATTTACACGCTCTGCAGCTGGAGGTGGTTACAAGTCCGCAAGGTCAGGCAAGGGAACTCACATCGCCCACGATAAGTCCTCTGGATTCGCACCTGGTTTCAACCTTGCTCGTTACGTGTCATGCAGCGTTGAGGGGTGTTGGACGACCAGAATTCCACATAAAGTTCTTTGAGGGTATGCTAGGACCTGAAAAACCCGTCAAACCGCTGACGCAGTGGCCTCCAACCCAGGATTTGCCATTTACATTGTTTTGCCCGGGATTCGCTGACCTTTACGGGCGCTTCCGAAGATGATAAAATATACGAAAGCGACCGTTTCCTTGTTGTCGTCGTCGCCAAACTGTACTACTTGGACCAGGAGTATCAGAAGCCAAATCACGGACACCTTGGCCAGGGGGAGTAAATGGTTAAACACCAGTAAGTTCTGCCGACCGCAGTTTGAAGTATTACAAGGCGCATAGAGGTGGCCTCCATCAACCAGGTCTGAGTGCAGGGCAAGTACGACCGCTTCGGTTTGCCTTCCACGTCCCGTTTCGAAGCCAAACAGAAAGTCGCACAGAGATTTCGACAAAGTGGAGAGCTTGCCGGAATACGAAAATTCGGGGATATTTTGTTGACTCCGTTAACCATTCTATGAGCGCTCAACCTCCGTTGTCCGAAATCCTGGTGCTTGTGTTTGGGGGAACCGGGCCGTGCATGTGGCGCGCGCAGGCAAAGTCACTAGACCAGGTCAACCACCGCGCCCATTCCCTGCATCAGTCAACTGACCGACTTGGACAGTGGTTGGGGGCTGGGAATGGAAAGGGTGAGTGAGGTCGACGACTCAGCGCATTTTCCTCACTATAAACAATCTGGCGCGCTTGAAGCTATCATGGTGCGCTAAAGGCCGTGGCTTGGATGGTTGTCAACTGACGGGATAACTTGAACCTCGCAGTCGGCCCAGTGTTGTGTGTTTGTGTGGAGTGGCCGGCTGGTGGTCTAAGCGTCAGGCTGCAATGTCTCCTTCTTAATATGGCCTTTATTGCACTCCCACTCCATTAGATCCGAGCCAGATGTGACGGCACGCCTGGGTGCGGCTTCGGCCGTGACAGCCTCCATTCTCTTGTCGTTGACGGTTAAAAGCCTGCTCAATTGTGTGTTGTGGACCAGGGAGTGTGGTGGCACGCCTAGGAGCGGGCTCGGCGTGCCATGCACCTGCGTCCTCCCCTCATCCGGTCTTCTTGACTCTGTCTTGACACCGAGTCTAGGTGGGGAATGGGAGGAGAGAGTGCGCTAGATTCTGCGCAAGTCTACTATCACTATAAGCTAATTCACGCGTAAGTCACCGTCCCTGCTCCACCTTACTGAGGGCACACGGTGGACATCGTCGGTGAGGATGGTGGAACTGCCATGAGCGAGCAGATGGTCGTGGACAGGGCTTGTCAGACCATTTGGATGATCCAACTGCATTATTCAACTGAGGCGACCGATAGTTTGAAATTGTCTTTGTTTTAACCCTTTTGAGTGTTTCCTATCTTAGGGACCACCAGACACTTATGATAGTAAACATACAGAAAATGCCTATGAAGATTGTGTTTTACTCTTCGATCAACACTCACGGATCAGCAGTAGCCGTGTCGCAAATTGTATACTTTAAGAAAAGAAGGCGTGAGAGGGCCTTTCGAGGCGGAGTATGGTAGGTGATGGCAGAACTTTAATAATCCCCAGAGGTTGCTGACCAACTACCGGAGATCAGATAAGACAGGGAAGGCCACGATGAATTTTTGCCTAACTCACAAAGTACCGGAGTCATTTTCTTCAAGTATGACGCTTAGATCAGACGTGGTTATGTAGCTTCACTTGAAGTAAACAAACACCAGCCACTCGTAATACGGGACTGGTGGTAATAGGGTTTTTTACAGGTGGGGCCGGGGGAAAACGCACAAGCGACAAGGTCAAGTAGTTGTATGCAAAAGAAAAGCTATTGAAAATGCGCGGTTGTACATTAAGTGGCCGAAAAATAGTTGCCCTTACCCCTAACCCTCATCTCTTACCCTAACCCCAATAATAGTGTGTAAATCAGGTGGGGCTGCATAACCACATCTTACTCTATTTTTAACCCTTTTTCTACTTGAGGCGTTTCATCCACTGTTCTGCATATCTATAATTTGAATTCACTCAGTTACAACGATTTCCGGCGTTTCCACTTTATAGAAAAAGATTGTTACTTCTAAACCACGTAAGACAACTTTGATATGTCCTGTATGTTTCAAATTCACTGAAAATCCTTCATTGCTAATTAGGAATTTTGGTTCATTCGTTTGTGTCGGTTTGCGAGTAATTAACAATGTTTCATAAATCTCGGCACATTTAATGAGCTAGCAAACGTACTGTACACTCGTCACTCAGAGGTGCCGGGGGCAGGGAATTATCGCAACGGTCGAACTTGCTAGAGGCGAGAATTACGTAGTAAGCGGCGGAGTAAGAAAAAGCAAATACGCCTTACTTCGAAAGGTAAAACTGCCGATGGCCCGTACAGAAGCATTCGGAACACAGTTCTTCAAGGTTTCTTAATCAGTGCTAGCTGGTGAATCTCCCAACTGACACACAACTGGACTTGGCAGGGACTTTAAATTTCACAGAAATTAATAAATGGGTGTAAATTCTTCGGCGCAAACCCATTCACGTTCGACCCCAAGGTTGATGGGAACATTTGAGGTGACATCCAACAGCTTCAGCGGAATGACCGCATAATGCGCACAGGCTGTCGACAGGCAGTCGGAATAAAGGAAATGTTGCTTAACTTGCAATACTCCCTACACGGGCAATAAACAGAAGTCCGGACAAGGGTTATGTCAAATTGGTGGCGCTGTATGACGTAGCAGCTATGTGAAGTAATCTGCAGTTGAAGCAGTGGCCCTAAGCTGACGGCTACACTGAATGAAACGCAAACGAATTGCAGAAACCGTAAGCAGCATTTTCAACTGCGTTTGGCTGGGAGAAATAATCTCACTGAGCAACACTGCATAAACACCATCTCATGAGTACTTTCACGAGACCTCCGCCAGAAGACGTTACCCGATGAATGCACCTTGGCGCTCACGCCTAACGTCGCATAACTGAGTACACTCAAGGTTGAACTCACCTACAAGTTTCGCAGCGAAAGGGGCAGACACCAAGCACGGAAATCGAAAAATAACATTTATACAGCAGACGTTTGTAGGAAAGTCTAAGTCCATTTGTTGCTATTTGTCATGGCTAGACGTGAGAGTCAGACGGATGGCTTAATAACTTGGAATGGAAGTTCGGCCTATCCCAGGAAATATCCAGGATCCTAATCCCGTAACTTACACTGATGTCCAACTGATTTTCTCGTGATGACGCAACAAATATCATACGAGTGTTCGATCGTCGATTTCCACGATGCTCACCGAGTGTCCCGCAGCAGGGTAGGCGCATGGACGGTGACTTGCGCTGCATCTACCGCGCTCTCTCCCCCTCCCCACCTAGACCCGGCGTCAAGGCAGTGTCAAGAAGACCAAAGGCGGGAGAGTGGGCAGGTAGATGGCACGGTCGAGCCCGCACCTTGGTGCTCCACTCCACACCCCCTGGTACACACAGCAAATGACCAGGTTTTTGACCAACAACGTCCAGGGAGCGGCAGGGGTACCAGTGTGCGTGACGTGCGCTGGCAACTGCGTCTGCCACCGCACCCCTAAGTCCTGGCATTTGTTATGGTGCGCAATCCGATAACGCCTACCGGAATCCGATATGACCGCCTTCTTGGTCCAACGCATCTTCCACGTGGCCCGTTTGCGGGGCTTAGGCATGTCATACACCCACTGGTTCGCGTACACATGAAAAGGATTGCACATAAAAAAGAGAAGGAGGACGGCTCGGTTACGACCGAGTGGAAGAACCATAAAGGAGCCATTGCAGTCTGACTCTCAGTCGGCCATTGGGTTGCTCCACAGAAACACACAGTGGAATGGCATGAAGGCCAGAGTTGAATCGTCAATAGGTTGTATCGACAAAACAATAAACACCGAAATGACTATTTTTGGCTTATTTGTCGTCAGCGGCCTGGCGCCTTGAAATTTAAATTGACATATTTGACCACTGGTGTATGAATCTGGCGTTCCAAAACACAGTTGAAATTTTCAATCCTGACTGGAGATCAGAATATGTCGCTGAACGTCAGCCGTGTGAGATAAAGAAGCATGAAAGTCTTATTACTCGGCTTTCATGAATTATGTTTTTATGGAGAGTTGGGTTTTACCCATTATAAAAAGGAGGAAACGTAGCCTTGAAGTAAGCCGATTTCACCTATATTAATCAATTTGATGCTCATTTCCGCAGTGCTACCGGCAAATAAGACTTAATATTTTGCATGTTCAGGGAGTCGCAAGCCTTTTTTGAATAAAATCATGGTTTTCTCCTATGAATCTCTAAATATCAAATTTATCAAACAAATGTCTTCTCCATTTTGTACAGAGACCCAAATCTACAATTTGACACTCATAATCGTAATTGTTTGCTGGGATCCTCGCGAGCCATGATGGCATATTTACAAATAACCCAGCAATTTAAAATGCTAACTGCAATATTTTCAGCTTGACCAAGAAGGGCGGGCGGTTTTCAGACGGTCGTCCTAAGTTGTCAGAGCAACGAAATCGCGCACATGCCTTACAGCTTGTTCAAGTTGGGGGGACCCGATTGAGGCGGAAATACTACTCGAGGTCAGCCTTAGAACGTGGCCAGAAAGTAGTCGTTCGAATTTATTCAAGGCGTGCCCAAAAAAATTTGCAGCTTGAGTTGCTTCTGTACACAGCTTACCGAGTGACATGTTTATGACAAAAATTAAATGAATGATAGGCGGCTGGATTCGAGTTTTCGTGGCAAAATAAGTGTTTGCATACCTCAGAGCATCCGTTGGCTTTGGGTTCCAAATCGAACGCCGTGCGAAATCCCAGCTGGGTAAGAATGTAACCCTCCTGTGCCTCCGTATGCACGTAATCGAAGGAGGCATTGGGATGGGCATGCAGCAGCTTCACGTTGAAAGCAAAGGCAGCCATGTCAATCGGAAACTTCCGATGGGGATTAAAACTGGCCACGAAGCGAACTATAGTATTTTTGTCAACGCAATCGGTAACGCAGCCCTCCCACGACCTTCCGCCGACCAGTCCGACGGGCCACGTCGATCCACGTCTGGTACTTCGCATCTTATTTGCATAAAACAGACGCCAGGTTTAAAATCACGACATGCAGATATATATATATATATGAATTTGAAAACGGGCATCCCAAGAATCATAATTCGAAAGAAATAAGTTCTTTGGGAAAGATAAACAAGTTAAATTGTAAATTTTTGACTTTGATTCCATAAATCGTCCTCAGACGTGAAGTAAGTGTGCAAAACAGTTAACATTTAAACATGCCTAAAAATCGATTTTGCCCTGTCATTCCTGCTGGGGTAATGTCCTAATTTTCCAATGCCTTTTCCACTTCTCCTTGAGGCTGCTGTACACCACATCCAATTCTACGTGTCGGTTGATGCATGAGTTATCAGAATGGATGGCCTCAAAAATTCACGGCCCTTCTTAGATGAGCAGACACCTACGATGCGAGTCCTGTCCCAGACGAATTTGTGTCCGGTTTCTAGCGTATGCATGGCAACTTGGGACAAGAGGTATCGACTTTTTTTACAGCCAACTGATATTTGTGTAATCGTGTAGAGGCCGATTTACCTGTTTTACCGCAGTAAACCTCATTGCAGGTGTTGCATGGCATCTTATAGACCACTTCCTTCTTATCTAAATAGCCAACCCTATCCTTAGGTTGTACAAGCTGGTTACGAAGTGTAGTCGTCGGCTTGTCTTCGTGATAGAGGGGCGCTCAACGTGCAGCATAAACTTAAAATAAAGCAGTGTACTTTCAAATGAGCTCCTTCCCGACCGCCTGCGAAAATAACACTCTGTAGAAAATGACTGCTTAAGAAGCATGAGTCTTTCTCACTTATTTTCGATGCCCCTATAAATTCAATTATGTTTCCTAGAAAACATAAATCAAAATCGATCATTCTTTTACGTCTTTCAATAACTTACGTCTTCTTCAAGTTTCATACTTGAGTAAAGGGTGTAATTCGACTGTAAAAAACTCTACCAATTCCCAAATAATTCTGAACTTGACCTGCCGTAACATTTGCATCTTGGGTTTCGAAATTACAGGCTGTACATTTTCCGTGCACAGAAAACCATATATTTCTATACGGCATTAGGATGGAATTCATGAAGCTTAGCAGAGGACTTGCGCTTTATTGTGAACTTCACATGCAACATTAGTAAATACAGAGACACAACGTTTTATGATTGAACATTTCACGGTCTTAAAAACTCTCATAATCAGAAACTTCTGAAAACCGAATTGCCTTCTTTCTTCAAGTCTAAAAATACGGAGGAGACGTTATTTTCTACCGCATGAGCAAACAAATGGCCAATGGATCGGTATGCGCCCATTCCTGAGTGAATAAATACCTGATCTGCAGCCACAGAGAATGGCAGGTGGTGAGGCATTGATTAACTTCGGTTCGATGAAGTGCTTATGACCCATCTGGTAGACTCCAGTGTTGGACCAACTGCGCCAGGTATGTCTATGTGCATGTTTGTATTTCCGGTCCCAGCTGGTGGTCAGGGTTAAGATTGGCTGAATGAATGCAAACAAGCCCGAAAGTGCTGTATCAATCTACCCTCCCCTCCCCTCCCCCAGACTCTGTCGTCTCCCCTCTGCTATCATAGCTTGGTCTACTTCGGTATGGTAGGTGGTTGCGAGTTAGTGACCCCTATCGCCCATACGAAGCTTGTTTGCTTTGAGAAGCCAATAGAACGGTGTGCGCCCATTACTGCGTGAATATATATATATATTTCAAAGAAGAATGAGTCCTTTGGGAAAATGAACAAACTTTATTTCGTAAATTTTCGAGTCTGGTTCCCCAGCTCGTCTTCAGACGTGTAGTAAGTGTGAAGAAACAGTCAAAATTTAAACAATGCCGAAAAAAATCGATATTACTCTGGCATGACTGAGGATAGGCTAATGCTGTGGGCTGATATCACGTCGTGATTGGCTATTACCCGACAGGGCGACGGGCTCGTGGTTCAGTGGTTAAAGGTGTGGACTTCTAACAAGCAGGTCGCGAGTTCGAGCCTCGGGTGTGTCACATTTCGGGGTTGGGTATGGCTGGCCTACGACGGTTAATAAGCCAGAAATGACCATTCCAGTCTCCCTTGTCTTTGTCGGTAATAGCATTCTGCCTATATCATGCGCCGCTGTGCGGCTGCTGGTTCAACTCGAGAGAGAATCCGTAAGGCACAACGGAACGAGTGAGTTCCGCAAGGACGATCGGTGAGCGTCCCTACCATTATATATACATATATATATATATATATATATATATAAACCCACGTGGATTTGTGTGGAGTAAACCTAATAGACTGCCCTTTCTGAACGTTCGACGTATGGGAGCACATGCCAGTTTATTTTTCAAAGTGATAGAGAGGCGCGTGTCCACAGTAGTTAGCGCGCAGAGTCAAATGAGACACCCATCAGTTCAGCATCGACGCTATTGACAGTCATGCCTGGACAAAGTAAAATTCCTTCATCTTGAAGGCACGCCTTCGCTGGATTGAACAGAGGAAGTCCCATGTGCGCATTGGACTGCGCTGGTTTTTATCAGTCATTCAGCTGACTAGGTTTCAAAGGGGGTCCCTAGAATGTGAAAAGAGTAGCCCTTTAGCCACCTAACATTACCCTCCGTTGGACGTTGTGGTTAGCCCCCGTTTCTTGGTCAGGCCTCCGATGATCCCTATCCTCTGCCATTGTTTTGGGAAAGGGCCTTTGGGTTTATGAAAGGGACAGTTGTGTACTCATCGCATGCCGCTGCGTTTATTCTTGAAAATATGTTCTTTTCTATGGCAACAACTTTTTCGGTGTTCACAAACGGCCTATATAGTCAGCGTAATTACTAAGATGATTTATTGAAGAATTAGACGTAACCTCAGACAGGACGGTCAAGCAGAAACCCTCTAGGATTTACTTTAAATTTGATTGTTAATAGTCTCTGTGTCAGTTTTAGGAGCGCAGTTTCAGGTTACCTGACCAGTATGTGTCCTCCGCAATGCTATCCAGTTGAAATCGCATGAGCATTAACATGTGAACAAAACGTGCCCGCATGTGAGTGTACGAGCGCGGCTTTTTAAGTCGACCTCTTGCCTGGCCCAAGGCAACCTATTTCGCGTTTCATTTCCACCCACAAATAGGTCCCTCGGAACGAAGGCGAGAGAGAAAGAGAGATTTTGGCGCTCACCTCCCATGTGCAAATGCCGTCCAAGGGCACTGACGCGTCCCTAGCGGTCCTACCCGATGTCACAAAGCGGCTCCGAGGTTAAATACCTAACAACTGACCCGCGTACACGGACATGTACTGTTACAGCAAAAGGGCTCTCGATCCGGGAATAGGCACACAAGGGTGTGCTTTTGAACAACGGAAATAAATGCCCTGGGAAGATACTGATTCTTAAATTGGCACGTTATCATGCATGAAATAAGTTAGGCGCATGTACCGTTTAAATCCGTCTAACAGCATGACCGGACCAAATCCTCTCCATTTAAAAATGCACCAAACAAGTCCTGTCAATGTGCCCTGAGTCTTGACGCCTATTCAGGGAAATGCTCGTATCTCACGACAACTGGACTGATCAATACGCTGCTCCTCGTCAGCAAACCGCACAGTGAAGCACAGTATATGCAACCGATAAGCAGTGTATGCGGTTGACAAGGTCTGGTTTCACGCTTACCGAGAGCTGCATCGTGGCCGATTAGGGAAACTATTAGTTTAAGGCTCCTGGAGAGCTCAAATTCTCGCATCAGTAACATTCTCCCGATGCATTTTTCATCGTTTTTGGCTGTTAGGACTTGGAGAGACTGATATACGATTCGCGTTGCTTGTGTCTCAATTTAATTCGCTGTGGTTTCCGGGCGGCGCTCTCAGGGATGCGGGTTTGCATGTATTCCCGTCCCCTCCCCCACCGCCCGGAAGTTATTGCACGCAGTTTGAAGTATCATTACCTACCGCTTTCTAGATCTTTTAAATCTGGAATCTGCAGAATCTGGCTCCTTTACATCTAAAGTGTTTTTGACATTGCGGTGTGGTATTTTAGTCCGTAGAAGCTGCATTACTGCAGTACACGCAAGTCCATTTGGCGGAAGCCGTACAGGAATTTACCGCAGACGTTGGGGGGGGGGGGGAGTGGCTTATACCGGTAGAGGGACTTTAAAATGAAGGTGGAATCTCGTGCAGATTTGTTTTGGGCGTTTCCCCCTGTCGGCTTCTGCCTCGAAAGTGGCCGAAAATGGTCAAGTTCGTTGAAAATGCTGGACAGGCGCCCCCTTCCCTCCCTCCATCGTATCCAAACGCTATTAACCCGCGTTACAGAAGGCAGACGTGGACAACTGCAGGACTCTTCTAACACACAGGAATACAGCATTGTTGTCACATTCGGGATAACGCCTACTTCGCTACCCAGAAGTAAGGCCTAGATGTACAGTGCGTGACCGATCTCATGAAATGTTGGCCAAAATTCTGAAATGCGTTTTAGACTAGGAAGGATTAATAAGGTGGCGTTGTAATATTAATTATCGTGTTTCATAATCTTATAGTACTTCGGACTCGGCAGGATGTCGGCTTTTAAATGTACTTCTTTGTGACCTCCCACAGAAACCGTGCCCGGTAAAAAATGACTACTTAAGTAGCATGCATTTTCTACATTGCTCTCCGGTGGTCTTGTAAATTTAAATATATTTAACAGTAAATATGTACAAGAATATGCTTTTTTTACTCGTTTGGTAGAAAAATACGTTGTCTTCACGTTTCATGCCCGAAAAAATGTATATTTGAATTTTGAAAAGCTTCCCAAATCCCGAATAATTTTGAGCCTGATCAGCCGCTGCATTAGCATTTAGCGATTTCAGTCTACAAGGTGCATGCGTTCCATTCATCATATATTCCTCTATGCCTTTAAGAAGACACCAAATAGAATTCATAGAATTTTGCAATGGATGCCGACCTTGTACATTTCATGAGGAGTATTGGTAAACAGGCATGTGCGATGCTGTACGAATGGGCATCGCACGGCCTTAAAAATTTCATTATTAGGAACTTTTTTAAAACCGAAAGATAATCTTTCCTAGGACATAAAATATAAAAACAACGTAGTTTTCTACCAAACTGCAGGTGAGGCTACGAAATAAGATCAGTCCGAATTATGAACCAAAGGAGCGGGAGGTAAGAGGGAGAGTCAGCGACGCTGGAGCGTTGACCAGAGTGGACGTTAGTCCATACCAGAGTATTTTGAAGGCAGGTAACAGCGCCATATGTTCCCCACTTCCCCATCTCTTCCTTGTCCCTTTTCACCTGCCCACCTCCCCTATGATTCCTTACTCTACGCGTCCCTCACTAACGCTTGTATTCTGCCAGCTGGCTGCACTACCCTCTTTCCTTGAACTGCTCTCTTGAAAACAGGCCAGAGGCGACTTTCAGGTGTCAGGTACTGAGACCGAACGACTCATTGCAGCGACAGGAAACTTCTGTAGCCGGATTCGGTTCAGTTGTGGACGAAACAACTGGGGGTACCACTGCGCATCCGGATTGCTGAATATTAGGCAACTATGAGGACTAATGATGTCAACTCTCAGGTTGCAGCTCATTTAACGGGGCCCAGTCACGTGTTCGAGTTTGACGAGGCCGAAAGTTTCACGAATGGTGACAACGGCGTGCGGCGATATCTGCTCGAGCTAGGTTTTTCTGGTCTGCAATCCGTTAACAATCACAATAACGTCTCCCCTCTGCGCTCACCGCCGAAACCTTGCCCTGGCCATGCGGGGAAGGTTCTGGAGAACACCAATTTCCGTGACAGTATTAACGCAATGGCGAGATTGTCCTAATTTCCAACGAGCAAACAATCGTCGAACCAATTTCGACCGCTAGTAGCCAATGCACTAGCAGCTAATTATGATAGGTGTCATTTAGATACTACCTTCAGCTATTGTCCTCTGCGACTATCTATGAGTATGATTTAAGCGAAGATCTAAAATACCAGGTAAATACAATTCTTTTCTCTAGCGATCACTTGAACTACTGTCCGCAAACACCGTGCTCCTTCTTCTCTGTCTACCTTTGGTGGGAATTAAGCTTAGGCCTACACATATCCAAGAAAGTTCCTCAAAAAGCCATTGTTGAGGCTTCTTGTGGGACTACGTAAAATGGTCTTTTTGATAAAAAAAAACATATGTAAAAGCTTTAAACTGAAACGCGATCTAGCCGGCTTCTATACTGCGCAACAAGGGGGAATCAAATTGTCAAGCAAAACGCACATTCAAATTGGTGTCCGTCAAGTCTACCAACTCCTTTCTCGTTCTCTTTCGTAGAGATCACAAAGCAACAAATAAATCGTGCGAACACAGACATCCATGTGTAAATTTGAACTGGCGCCCCATTTCGTGGACAGGCATCGCGCTCCGTCAATGCCGCCCTGGTGCTGCTTACTAGAATTTCGATGACTAGTACAACACCACAATCCAGGCCAGGACACTTTGGTTCTGACGTCTCATAAGGCTAAGCCCCGCGCCCCTCGCGCCTACTAGTTCTGTTTATGATGATGGAAAGTATTTATGGTCTTAGCTATTAATGCGCGGTACGTTCTCAGCCATGCAGCGGCGTTAAACACTGCAGTACAAAAGGACAGCGGTCTTTCTAAAAATACACACACACTTACCCCCTACCCTGAAACTTCACCACTGTACGACTAAAACGTCCGTGCTTATTCTAATGGAAGGCCTAGATGTCCTAGAATACAGCATAGTCAGAAGAAACTGTGCAGAGGAGAAAACGTGCGCCGTCAGGAGGAATGGGACGGCCGACTTCGCGATATTTGGCCGTGTGCTCGGCCTCAAGGTTAGAATGTGCGAACCTTTCCGCTGTGCGAATAGTCGCTCCTCAGTGCAAGTTGCACCAACCCCTGACAAGACAAGAAAAATACAACACGGATGAGCGGTTTTGCCATCAGCCAACCCAAAGCTTCTGTTCGTATTGTCGGGCGTGATCTGTTCGTTTCTGGCGAATAGATTGCGGCGAGGTTTGATCTTGCAGCCCCATTTGAGTGATATCGCATGGTTAACTTTCTAAGAGAAATTCGGTAGATGCGAATAAGCTGACTTTACAAGCATCACGTATTGGCATCTTACTTGCCATTTTTATCCAGCGAGTGACTGTACCACGGAGGGAGGACTGCTCATACGTCAGCCTCGGTTAGTTCAGGTTTCAGCTCACATGCGCCTTCTTTCGCCTAATTCGAGCGCTCTCTTTATTATCCTAATTCAGCGAGTGGCCAAGAAGCCTTGCTAATGAAATTGTTCCGACGGTGTGGAAATCCGTCGGTTCCACTACAATGGCCATGCACTGTGAATTACGACGCGGCTCCCTCCGTGACCTTCCAATTGTGATTGCACCCCCCTCCCCCCTAACCGACTAACCTAGAGAGTGGCTGTGTCGCGTGGAGAATGTGTATACGCCACCTTCACCCGCATCCCTGCGCGTGCTTTGAGCTCTGCTTGCGCTCTCTCTCCTTTCCTAATCCAGCGAGTGGCTGAATAGGGTATGTTAAGGAATACTGTTTTAGTAAGCCACCATATGGCATCAGTCAAGTGGAGCTGCGGAACCAAACCTCGTCCAGATTACCCCTAAAACTGGTCATGACGTAGATACACTGAACTCATATAGAGTCCAGCAGGCGTTATCGGGAAAGCGCGATAAGTGGAATGCCGGCATTTGGGCTGTAGTGGCATGCTTATGTGAAGGCACGCGTCGCACCCGTTGGGATCCATGCCCTCTCACTATTTGTGCTTTATAAAATCCTGGTAAATGTGGCTTGTGAACAAGGGGTGTGGATCGTCGTCGTCCCAGCCTCCTGCGCCTTCTCACGCCTCCGCTTTTCTTGACTCCGTCATGACACCGAACACAGGTGGGGGTCGAGGAGGATAGAGTGGGGTAGATGTTGCACGAGTCTACTACTACTACTACTACTAAGGCGAATCAACGTGTAATTCACCGCTTCTGTTCCCACCCTGCTGTGAAGCACACGGTCGAACTGTCGATGTTTAGCGAAACATACACATACACGGTCTTTCACTAATCAGAGGAACTACTTCTACTATGGCTCCAAATGCCCGAGAGTTCGGCGGCCGTTTACGACTATGCCTACCGTGTGCCTCACAGCAAGGTGGAGCAGGGACAGTGGCTTGCGCGTGAATTAGTTTATAGTAATAGTAAACTTGCGCAGCATATACTGCACCCTCTCTTCCCAACTCCCCGCCTGGACCCGGTGTCAAGAAAGAGTCAAGAAGACTGGAGGCGGGGGGGAGGGTGCAGGTAGCTGGAACGTCCGGAGCCGCACCTAGGCGTTCCATCACACCCCCTGATTCACCCACTTGACCGGGACTGTACTCCAACAATAACACCCCAAAAGGGGTCAAAAGGACGATGATGATGGCCGGACAGCCATGTCTACCACCTGTATACCCAGCGGAAGCGCACGCTCATCTACTGTTAGGGAACTAGGTGTCAGGGAACTGCCAGCGCATACCAGGCTGCGAGGGCCATGGTTTGCTGATACTGGCATGGCACACACTTTCAGACCTATTCGAAACGTGTAGTAGAGGGCATGGGATCGGCGGCCCACCAGTGGCCCATTAACGAAGCCCCATGGGGGTTCAGATTCACAGCAGCAATCTGGAAGAAAATGCGCATGAGGCCTGGTATCCCTGAAACCAATTTATCCAAAGGCGTTTACAAGCGGACACCTACGCGGGAACGTCAGACGGAAACCCTGCTGAGGATATGGGATGTTCTGCCATACGCAGGCGCGGGGCTTGGTGCGCATTTCCCCGTCGGATCAACAGTCTACTTACAAACGATAACTTGGTTACGCTGCAGACCTGACTGTCGGAGAAAATACGACATGCTTAATTCGCGCATTCTAGACTACCGTTAATTTAGCTAGCTGATGCAACAGAACTCTGGCGAAGATACCAAAAGCCAATGTCTGCATGAAAACACTGTGCGATTCGGAAGAAAGGCATGGACCGATCACTGGCCGTGCTTACCTCTATTGCCTTGCGCTGATGTTTATGCAGAGGAAAGGAATTGTTTTTATTCGAAAAGCCGACAGGTATAAGCAAAGATGGAGCAAGTTCGCATTCTACCTCCACTCCACCGTCATAAAATAGCCCTGTTGGCCCTGAAAAACATTTGTGTGTTTAGAGCCGCTGTCACTAAGTCGAAGATGGTTTTCTTCGATCCGTGTGCGTCGCCATGCCAAATCCTTCCCTGAGGACTTTTTGCCGGCAGACATCACGACTATGTGTGGCGTTCTTGTTCAGGAGTCCGTCGCGTTCCAGTTTTTCATCCCTTGCAATTTCAGACGCACTGACCTGCAACCACTCGACGTGCTTCAACTCGACGTCCACAGAGTCGCAGCTGCCCAGGCGTCACTGAAATTTACTATCCCCCCCATGCTAATTCAACACAAGCCACTTGGAACCCACCCCCTCGACAAATTAGCGCAGACCAATTGGGACACCACTTGAGATTGCCCCACACTCCTACAAAAGAAGCTACCACCACTGTCCCACGGACTCTCAGGCATGATTGGACGCGGTCAGTACCAGCCCTGCATTCGCCAGCGGTCACTGCGGCTTGAGAGGACAACTCAGGATTCTGTATACAACAACGCCGTTTGGGAGGCTCCAAATATCCAGAACGAAGATGGCTAACCTGTCTCTGGTGCATGGAACAGTTCCTGGCTCGACAGCTAACCTGTCATTCACGAGTTCGAGCATTCACCTAGAGCCGAACGTAAGCGACACAAAGCGTCCTTACGTTCTTCCATCCTGCCGTAGGAGTATAGGTTGCGAACCTTTAGGCTCGCCTGTGCAATCTACATAGGTCGCTTGGGACAGTGCATCGCGCATAAACCATGTAGGCCTACAGGTCGACCGAACACCAGGGGATTACTATAAACTTTGCGCCTAACCGCCACAAACAACTGTACAGCCTCCCGTTGACCGGTTTCTCTATCTAATTGCTTTGCACTGAATGAAAGTGTAAAAATACGGGCCAAAAACAAGGCCATGTAACCGTTCCGAATACCCTGTCTCCGATTGTTGTCTTTAAGTTCGCAGTGGATGGACTTTGGACAGCACTTCACAAAGGTGCTGGTTGTGGGCCACAGCAGTCCGTAAATGACTCAGTCGGCATTCTTCGGAGTTGCGTCCGCCGATGCAGGCCGATGCAGCACTCCCGCTGATGACCGCATACAGACGAACAACCAACATTCTTCGTCTAGACCGCAGGTGCAGGGCAAAGTACAATGTCTGTGCGGTCTCCTGAAATCAGTTCACACTAGCGAACGCTGTTTCCGTCTGGCCCTCATCATTTCACACAAACAGAGTGAGCATTTGCTTGAGACTGTCGAATGTTGGGCGGCTCAATGGCAAAGTATGGTTTCACTTGTAGATCCTCCGGGCCTGAGGTCGGTTACGGTCGGTTTAATCCGGCGAACAAGCCGGTTAGCCTTGTCTCGAAAGATAAACCAGCCAGAGTCCCAGCTCCAACGAAAAGGTAAACCATCCAAAATGATGTCAAATGCCTGATCAAAGGATCCAAAAGCTGCTAACCGTTGTGTTGCCCTCCCATCGGCTTATCAAACGTTGCAACTGCGACTGGACACCTAACTGTGAGGGGATGGAGGGAGGGTAGCGGTTCCAACGCTAATACGGGATGGCGATGCTACTGCGGACGCTGCGGGATGGTGAGACATGCAGTGACGCGGACGAGTCAGGTTGCTGTATCTCCTTCTCAACATGGCATTTTGTGTCCCTCGCACTCATGTGAAATTCAATTTGACAAATACTGTGGTGGGCAGGACGTGTGTAGCGCGTGAAGATGGGCCGTCGCCCAACGTTGTTAGCTAGTGCGTAAGAACCCACCCCCGGCCGACATGAGACTGTTGTGCCATGGGAGCAGGATGGATTAGAAGGGGAAGAGTGTGGTCGATGCTGAACAAGCCTGCCTCGCCATAAAATAAACCAAGCGCGAGTCACCGATGTTGTCCCACCTCCGTGGGGCTCACGGTACAATTCATCTTTCGCGACGGCCCAACTGTCGTATAACAGAGAAATCCTTCAAATGTGGGGTATAAAAAACTAATCTCCACCAATCAGTACAAATCTAACTTAACCATATATATAACGGTATGTGGACGTTTCATTCTGCCTTCGAACTTCGGTTTAGGGCACTCAGAGATTGTTGCATAAATAGAAATCAATAATATATGCGCATCACCGGAAAAGATGCCAAGGGCTGCTGCACAACACACACACACATCCTAAGAACACTTTTTACCATACAGGAGGAGGGAGTCCCCTGTCCGAGCTTCCGCGCTCATGCAGTAGCGCATCGCCGGAGACCGGAAAAGTCACAGCAACAGCCAGTGTCTGCAGTCATTTTCAGTTAACAGGAAGCGAGTATGAGATAAATACTGGCTATCGACACTATTGACGGTTTTCTCCGGGAAAAGTATGATGAGACCGATCAACAGCTCAAACGAGTTCACATCATCGAGCTCCCAGAACTATCGCTTAAGACGTTCTCTACATTCAACGGCCGGGTCTACGAGCGAAAGAAGGGGACTCTGATGGGCACGCCTCTAACTGGATTAATTGCCGAAGCGGTTTTGCAGAGGCTTGAGCGGCTGGTCTTCAGCTCGTACCCCCCAAAATTCTGGGCGAGATACGTCGACGAAACTTTCGTTATCATCAAAAGGAGCGATGTGTGGACTTTCAAGGCACTGTTGAATTCAATCTTTCCCGATATCCAGCTTACTATGGAAGAAGAGCTCAACAATCAGCTGGACTTCCCTGACGTACAATTGAGAAAGCTGGAGGACGGGAAGATAAGGACAACGGTCTACCGCAAGGCAACTAACACCAGGCGAATCCTCCACTTCAAGAGCAACCACCCCGTTGGTCACAAACACAGTTGTGTCAGGACCCTCTTCCAACGCGTTCAAACACACTACAGCGACGACAATGGGAGGAAGGAGGAGATAAAGTACTTGCACGCCCTATTTAAAGCCAACGGTTATCCCAAGTCCTTCATACGCAAGTGTCCTAAGAAGCCCAACCCTGAGCGGTCGGACGGAGAAAACCCGAAATTTTGGCTCGCAATCCCTTATGTGAAAAACGTGTCAGAGTCGACGGCAAGAATCCTGAAGCCTTTCAGGATCGGAGTGGCTCACAAGCCAGAGTCAACAATCAGACAGCAAATAATGAGGCCCAAAGACCAGCTACCGGTGACAGAACAATCAAAGGTGGTCTACAGCATACTATGCCAAAACTGTGATGCAAGGTATGTTGGTGAAATGAGCAAACGTCTTGGCACAAGATTGCATGAGCCCCAGCTTGCAATTAACCGCAAGGACAAGCTGTCTATGGTTTATGGCCACGTCAAACAGCAGAACCACAATTTCGCCTTTGAAAAAGCAAGGGTAATCGGCCGAGCCAATGATAAGATGACCAGACTGATGCTCGAAAGTTGGTCCGCGACTGGCACACTCAACAGAGCCATAGATCTGCATCCCGCCTATCAGGCGCTACGCACAAGGCTCCAGTCAGTGCGAACAAGGCCATTAGGACAGTCGAGCAAAGTGACGCGTGGCCGACAGTCGATGTCAGCAGAAAGTGGGAGAGAAACCGGCCGGGGTCATGTGCCCAGCATGGGACGCCACCTCACCGCGACGCCCACGAGGCTGAGATCAACTCACACGAGCCCCAACAACTGATCAGTCCGTTGAGTGACGAGGGGGAGGCCGAAAAACATTCTGGCTCGCTAACAATTACGACGGCCGCAAAGGGGTCATTAGTGGCAGGAGCCCACCGGCGGAGAGGGCAACGCTAATCGACGGCGAACGGGCAGGTCAGAGTTCGTGCCTCGCGCACGGATATCATACCAGACAGGTATCAAGGCTGACGCAATCAAGACCAACAGGAACTGTCAACACATTACTCTGATAATGGAAACGAGAGGGTTTCCGTAACGTCAGTACAAATATAACTCGGTCCATGAATGCGCCTTATCTTCTTCTTCGGGGGATGATGAACGCGATAAATGAGTGTATATATCGGAGTTCTGGGTCTGTATTGTCGCTTTGTCTGTCTTTCTAGAAGTTCTGCCACTTGTCTTCGCGTCTGCGAAATTTGAGTCACAGTCAGTACTCAGGCCATGTGTGACCGCTTGTCATGACGGATCGTTGCTTCATTCGCGTGGCCGGATGGAGTGGATGACCGAAATTCTAGCCTCCGTCGGATTTGACCTGAGCAAATTAGGTGTGGGATCTGATAAGTACGAGACAAATTGAAGTGCCGTTGTGCAGATAGGCGACTAAGTGGGCGCAAAAAAGGGCCCGGGAGCGCGCGAATGCAGCTGCTTTAACGACCTTCCAAAAATATAAGAACCGGTTACAGCACTCCAGAATAACGAGCACAAGAAGCCCACTGCCCTAATGGTCAACTTCCGCCTTAATAAACCGGCACTGAACTATTCGGCCATGGACGACTGGGGTCTCATGTATACCGAGGCACAAAAAACTGCTTACATGTAAGAGAGCTCCAGCCACATGATTAAATGCCGGTGGAGCCAGTCGACCCTCACAGTCTGTAAAAGGTCCAATTACGTACGGGGAAGACCAACTTAAATTCACTGAGCACTCGTGCCTTATTTCTCTGATCTCGCTCCTAATTTACCCATGTAAAACTCGAAGAAGACTACAATTCCGGCAATCCGAACGCAAACGGACGTGATGGAGGTGTGATTTGTTGTGACAAGCGGTTTTTCAAACCCTGAGCGCTGGTCACGAATTTAACTTCGCAAACGCCGAGTTAAGTGGCAGAGCTCCCAGAGGGACGAGTTAGGGGGCCAGTGGAGCCCTGAAAATCTGACGTCGACCCTGCCTTACCTTCCGCTCGCGTATCGAGTTCATTTATAAGTGGTCCATACGACCGCCAGCTGACGGAAGGAGACTACAGACACTGACTAGCCGCTGTCGCATTTTCGTCCTTCGATTATGCACTCTCGCATGAGCGCAAAGCTTCAGACAGGAAAGACCATTTATTCTTCTGTTGCAAAACACGAATCCTTTGGAGCTCAGAATGTCGCCTCTATTAATGTTGCATTGCCAAAAACTAATTACTAATCCGATCAATAAAGAGCGTTGATTACCTGTTCGAAAATTCGTGGGTCATAGGTGTTGTCGTCGTCAGCAAAATATACTACGCCGCGTTGCTCTTCCGGGCTTACGTTCTGCAGAATCCATTGAAGACCTCTGTTCCTCTGGTTACTGCCCTTTATGTGTCTTGACTCCTTGGGCGA